ACTGATGCTGGGGTAAAACACCACAGGGTTCGGAGGGCTATGATGTCACTAGGCAAGAATTTTGTGACCACTGTTGTCTGCGTGGCTTGTTGACTGAAACCTTGTTTTGCAGTTCCTATCTATATAAAGGCAGGCCTCAACCTCAATAGAGAGGTTATGTGTGTTAGTACTGAGACCTTAACTTAAGCCAAAATATGATTTATATTACTTCATTTAATTTGTTTCAATGCAATAAGGTAGATCATTATAGGAATAAAAAGGGTATAATCATCCATCTAAGTAACAGGAATAAATAAATTGACAGAAAAGCTTTCTTCAATAAGGCTGCATGGATCATATCATCAGTCTATCCACGGTGCACACTGAGACCAGGACAATGTTCCTGTTTCCACTTGGGCTCCAAGAAGGGGATCAGGAGGGGCTCCCCAGCAGATAGGAAATTTTCAGGATCTGGGCTGAGCTGGGGAACAAAAATCACCTCCTGTTACAGGAAAAGGAATAATGTAATGATTAGTTAATTTTCCATTGTGAAAAGTGTGCTAATCTCAATTTTTTCCCTAAAATTACAAATGTAGAATTATTGCGTTAAAAGGTATCCAAGAGATCTTTTTAGATCTCTTGGGTAACTTGGGTAACTCACTTGTTACCCCCTATTTTAGTTTAGGTTCAGGGAAACCAATAGTTGAGAGAAAGAGTGATGATAGATAGAACAGATGATAAAGAGATGGACATTTAGTAGAAATTTTGTTTTCAGGAATTGGCTCACGTAACTATGGAGGCTGAGAAGACCCAAGATCTCCTGTGAGCAAGTGGAAACCCAGGAGAACCAATGGTGTAAATCTCAGCCCAAATGCAGGAGAAGAACAGTATCTGGACTTGAAAGTAGTCGGACCACAAGATAGTCCCTTACTCCACCTTTTATTCTAGTTAGAACGTCAACTGATTACATGAGGCCCACATGCATCAGGAGGGCAGTCTACTAAGTCCATTGATTCAAATGTTAGTCACACCCAGAAACAACGTACACCCCCCCACCCAGAATAATGTTTAACCAAATATCTGGACACCCTGTGACCTAATCAAGTTGACACATAAAATTAACCATGAGGTACCCCTCACCTGAACTCTTTAGTGCCCCTCTAAAGTCTTCAGGATGAACTTTAAGCTCTTGGTTTGCCCTGTGGGACCTTTCACCTCTGGCCTCTGCTGGTCTCCAGGGTCATTTTTTTTCTCTATCCCTGACATACCAGATTTCTGCCTTCCCTGTTGTTGAATGTTCTCTCAGCTTGCCTACCTGGGGAAGGTGTGTTGCTCAGTGGGGGGGGCTGTAGCCTATACCTCAAACCTGTTCCTTCCCAGTCAGTCTTCTCGCTTCTCTGGTCCTGCCTGGAGTCCCAAGGTGGGATGCCAGAGAGAGACGAAGTGAGAGAGTGCCCAGCCTGTGGGCAAGAGGCTGGTATGGCCAAAAGGCATCGTGTATACGTTTCCAGCTCTCCCCATTGGATGTCTCCTGGCCCAGGAGTCCTGGGGCATGAAAATGGAGCTGATTTCACTGAAGACGTTGCGCAGTGGGGCGTGAAGCCTGCAGTCTCCCATTGCTAGGGCTGAAGCATGGCTTTGCCCAGTTGGATTCACAGAGGGGCAGGTGCAACAGGGACACTGGGGGCAGTGGGAGGTTTGTCTTCAGTGTGAATGAGATACTGCAGGGCACTCCTGAAATGCCAGGGGACACCAGAGGGCTCGGGGATACACCGAAGAGGAGGGGGGCAGTAGCAGAGGTGAGACATGTCACTGTGTCTGTAGCTGTGGGCAGACCAGGTGGCAGTGGGAGCTCCCCCCAGCCTCTCAGGAGCATGTAAACTGAGCGTCCTCAGGCTGTGGCTTTGCCTTTCTGAGTCTTGTTTTTGTCAAGTGCCAGGGAAGATGACGACAGTGTCAACCTCGCGTGTTTGTTAGGCTATGTGCACAGTGCCAGGTCTGGAACTTGGCACTCATGTGGGCTTTGGAAAGAAATGGTGTTTTCAGCACACTAGACAGTGGCTCCTGACTCAGCCTTCTGGCCCTGTTGACCCTTTGATGGGGCATATTAACTGCCAAGAGTTGGACTCTGGGGAGGACTTGTTTGGGAATACTGTGAATGGGGTGTCTTTCATTCAAGAAATTTATATGAGCTCTGTGGCATGGGGCTGAGGGATGCAGGCCTGGGGCCTGATGCCTGCCTTCGGGATCTGAAGGGCAGAGGACACAGGAGGCTGTCGGCTCCTGAGTTGTTATGGAAAGGGATCTTGGTGTTCTCTGGGCCATGCCTTTGAGAACCACTGTGGGGTTATTAAGGTGTTGCCATGAGACTGCCAGGTTGTGTAGACAGGTTTCCTTAGAGGGTATGAATGTATCTGGGCTCCCAGGATAAATTGCTGGCACCATGGAGACACTCTCTCCCAGGGAACAGTGGAGGATGGTAGGGGGTGGCGAGTGTCTCCAGTGATACAGACACCTGGGAGCAGAGGTCCTGATCCCCCCTGGGAAAACAAATCAGTTCTGAACCCAATGAAGGACCAGAACCTCTGAAGCAAACCCCAGTCAGTAAAGAGTCTTTCTGTCTGCCACCAAACCCTCTCCCCATCCTATTCCTTTCCAGTAGGGTTCAGGTAAGAAGAGCCAGCCAGTGAATCAAGCCAGGCTCCCGCCTTGACCTCTGGGGTACAGTGGGGCCTGCAGACTGCCCTGGAACCTTGGTGTTCTTGGGGATCTTGATCAGGCCCAAGTACCTGCCACAAGGTGGAGCTGGGCAGCTTCAAACCTCGCCCTGCTTATGGGGGTCTGAGTCACCAGCACCAGCCTGGGCCTCCGGGGCATGTGTCCTGGGTGCCACCTGTGCTCCTGATATCTGCCTCACAGGTAGGCCCCACCCTGCAAGGTCCTTGCGAGCCATCTGATCAGGACAACAGGACAAAGGGGGAGCCTCCTCAGGGAAAGGACGAGTCCTACATGAGGCTAAGGAACTGTTTGTGTGAGCATGACCAGCGTGTCCTCCCTTTGGGGCTCTGAGGCATGGGCGCCATGATCCTGACCTGGGCAGGCCTCTGTAGGACCTCCTGGCTGTACCGGAGCCTGGCACCCAACAGCTTCTCAGACAGGAAGAGCAGCTTGGAGGGAGCCCTGGAAGAACCCGGGCCCCAAATGTACTCAGTCTGAGCCCTCCCGACCCTGTATCCTCTGTGGGGCTACCTGTGGGTTACTGCCTTTTTTCCTGCTCTGGCCCTTCCAGTGGGGTAGAGTCCAGGTCTCTCTTCACCATCTTCCCCTGACACCCAATCTGTACTGGGCCACAGAGGGGCTGGAAGACTTGTGGAAAAGGGTGTGGAGAAGGGCAGCTACATGGCAGGAATCTCTTCCCAGAATAGGGGCCTATACCTGAAGCTGCAGCTCTGATCAGGTCAACAGGTAGGGGACAGCATGACAGGCAGTGGAACAGCATGTGCAAGGTCTCAGAAGCAAGAAATGAGAAGCAGTGTCTCCTTTGTGTTGTAACTGGCCTTGTCCTCCATTAGCACCCTGCAGGCATGCCCTAACCATTCAACTGTGGGTCCGACACTGCCCTCTCTAAGTCCTTTGCTCATGTTTCCCACATCCTGGGAAAAGGCTGCAGCAAACTCCCAATAGCAGGAGATATTGAGGGTTAAACTGAGCCTGAGTGCAGGGGGCCTGCTGAGGGAGGCCTTTGGGACTAGCTTTGGAGAGAGAGGATCTGGGGCCTAGGTGAGGGACTGCAGGAGGCAGGGGAGCAGCTGCCCCAGACCCTTTGGCCTTAACTGCTCCTTCCCCAGGCTCAGCATTCTAGGGTTCCCCCTTTACTGAGTTGCTCAGGAATAAGGAGATAGAACCAGCTGACAAGCAAGGTTGGGGCCTGAGTGTCCAGACTGTCCCGTCTCCATGGCTGGGTTAGGGGATGATCTCTGGTAGGTGTTGGGCTCTGGTCAGACTTCACAGAGTTCCAAGGGCATGGGCCCCAGACCTGCCTCTATCAGTCTTCAGGACTACTTACTCCTTCTGTGCCTTTGTTCCTGACAGGCGACTCAGCATGACCAGGGAGCAGAGACAAATTCTGCTATACCCTCAAGGTTCTGTCTAATGTTGCTCAAGGAGATGCCAGGGACTATGTGAGGGATGGGTTGGATAGTGATGAAGCCATGAGAAGTTACTTCTCGGCAGCTTCTGGGACCAAGACTCCTTGGGTTTGGCTTAAGGCCTCCACCCGGGCCCATGTCAGGAGCTGGATGTGGTATGAAGAGGTGGGCGGGCCTGGATCCAGCCCCTGCTTTCTGCACTACTCATCCTCTTGGGTCTCTGTTGAAAAGGCAGCGGGTTGGTTGGGACCCAGAGCAGACCCCAGTGACCCCACCATGTGCAGTGTTCCCATGCCCTACCAGGCTGCTGGCTGCCAGGCTCTGCTGAGATCCTGGGTTCATTGCACAACTCCATGGGGTGGGGAACACCTTGGGAACTGGTTGCCGTCTCTGCCTGTCCCCAGATGAGGGGGGCATGCCTAAAGGGTAGCTGAGTATGCAACCGAGCAGGGCCCAGCTTCTGAAGGATCTGACACAGCCAGGAGTACTCTTCCCCCTTACCCAGTGGACGCTGACAAAGAATGGGGTACATATTGCCTTCCTTTTCATGTGCCAGGTGTGGACTCAGCGACTCAATTACCTATCAGCTTCCAGGCCCAGAAATCTGGCTCAGGGGGAGGGAGGAAAAAGAAAAAGAAACTTGGCTCAGTGTGTGAGGCTGGGTGGGGTGATGAGAAGCCTCTCTGGTTTCATCACCTCCACCCCGGGGGCAACAAGAGGAACGAAGTAATCACCTCACCAGACCCTGTCAGCACAGGGGCCTCTGGAGCAGCAGTGGTCGCCACGTGACCCAGCAGGGAGCCTGTGCTGTGGCCCAGCACCAGCTCTTCTCAGGCCCACAGGTGAAACACAGCGCGGACATGGATGTGCAGGCTGTACAACTGTGCCTTTATGTCAACACCAGTTTACAACAAACTATACACATTGTCAACTCCATAACTCAAACTTGTCCTGCTGACCTGCTTCATGGCTGTTACCAGAAAGCTGTCCCCGATACCAGCAGGATCCAGAAAGGAGGTGCATGGGGCTGCAGAAACAGCCCATCAGGGCAGTGTGGGTTCCATCAGCAGAGTGGCGGGGTCACTGGGGGGCTCACAGCCTCTCTCATGTCACTGTGATGTCTTCTGGAGAAGCAGAAGCTCTCAGGCCACCTGGCCACAGACTGAAGGTTGGCCTCTGAGGCACAAGACTGCAGGGGGTGCCGTATCTCCCCTAAGGGCAGACAGGCTGACCAGCAACATGGTCCCCATCATCTTGAAAACAGGGCCCCCAAGGGAACGGGCCACCTCATCTGGAGGCCCTTGGCCCTGCCAAGGCTGAGCTTCCACGAAAGGTGGGAGGTTTCCTGTGCCGTGTGATCACTGGTGGGCACCAGATCTGCAAAGTAGCGAAGCACCAACATCATCCCTGCTTACTGGGCCAGCCGAGGCAAGGCTACAGAAGGTTCTGCTGACTTCCTCTCCTCCGCCTCCTCCACCTCCAGCTCAGAGTTGCTCACGTCTTCCCCAAAATAGAAGACCTACAGATTTAGACAAGCAGAGGGTGATAAGAGACTTTCCCTCCAGCATGGTGCCTTCTCAGCTGGCTGCCTTCAACCCAGAGGGCTTTTTGGGGAGCCTCTTGGCTCAGTCCTCAGATGCTGAGGGTCATGTCTGAGCAGCCCTCGGCCATACTAACATGCCCACTGATCAGGAGGTTGTGTGTGCTCACTTTTGGGCCTGTTTATCAACTATGGGGTCCTGGGACACACATCTCAGTTGCCCACAGTGGCAGCCACTAGTCATGGGGGGCTGTGGTCCAGCCTCCTCTCCCTACCCCAGCCCTTGGGTTCCACTTCCACCCCTAAGATCCTGGCCTGACCTACGCCCTTCCCACAGCTGATGGGGCTTCCAGGAGGTCCTGGCTCCCTGTCCTAGCCTCAGGCACCCCAACCCTCTCCTTCACTGTGCTCCCACCCTGTCTCGGCACACAGACGCACCTTAGAGCTTTCCACCTCTCTTTTTCTGTTTGGTTCTCTGGACTCTCACTTTCATAAGAAGCCAAATAAAGACCTAGTCAGAAAATGAAATGAAATGACACAATTATGATTGCTGATAATAACCAGTTCTACACCCAGAGTCTGACCTGCTTTTTGTTTTTAAATTAAGCTGTCTTTGGAGATCATTGTAGATTCAAATACTTTTGTAAGAAATGCCAGAGATTAGTGTACCTTTGACCCCCAGCAGGAACCACTTCAAAACTACCTACAAGATCATCCCCAGGATATTCACAAGGACAGAGTCAAGATGGAAAACAGGGCTTCCCCTGGTGGCGCAGGTGGCTGAGCACAGCGCTGTGAAGCTGTCCGTAGCTTCTGCAGAGCCAGTTGGATCCCAGCCACCGGTGAGAGCCCCACATGGCGCAGCAGACCTCTCCTGTCCCGCCCGCTGCTCCCCTCAGCAGTCTATTTCATCAGTCTGCCTGTTCTGTTCCCCACTCTGTCTCTGGTGAATCCTCTCACCCTCCCACACATCTGGCCTGTACCCCAGTTCTTGTATAAATAAATAAATAAATAAATCTTTAAAAAAAAAAAAAAAAAGACGGAGAACGTTCTCATCACCAGCCAGATCCCCCGGGTTGCCCTTTCTCAGCCACTTCTACTTCCCTCCCCCTTCCACCCCTTTTGAAATCCTTGGCAATTACTGATCTATTCTCCATTTCTATACTTCGTATTTCCAGAATGTGATATAAACTAATTACACAATATGTAACCTTTTGGGATTGGCTTTTTTCATTTAGTGTAATTTTCTGGAGACTCACCCCTGCTGTAGTGTGTATCAATATTTTGTTCTTTTCCCCTTTTTATTGCTCAATAATAGTTCATGGTATGGATATATCAGTTTGTTTAACCATTCACCCACTGAAGGGCATCTGGTTGTTTCCAGTGTCTGGCTATCACAAATAAAGCTGCTATAACCAATGGTGTGCAGTTTTTTGTTTTTGGGTTTTTTTTGTGAACATGAGCACGGATCTTCCTTGACTGATAATGGGGTTATGTTCTGATAAACCCATCGCTAAGTGGAAAATACCATAAGCTGAAAGTGCCCTTAATACGCCTAACACCATAGCCTAGCCTACCTTAAACCTGTTCAAAACACTTACAGTAGCTTAGAGTTGGGCAAAGACATCTAACACAAAGCCTGTTTTATAAGTAGTGAATATCTCATGTAATCTCTTGAACACTGCTGAAAGTGAAGACCAGCCTGCAGAGCAGCGGATGTGCCCTTCTGATTGCCCTGGGTGGGAGCTGCACAGCACTGCCCCCGTACGGCGTCAGCAGGCAGGACCTTGCTACCCCAAGAAAAGAGCAAAATTCAAAATTGAAAGTACAATTTCTATTAAAAGTCTATTGCTTTCACACTATCATAAAATTAAAAAATTGTAAGTTGAACCATTGTAAGTTAGGGGCTGTCTTTACTCGTTTCTCGACTCTGCAATGTCCAGGAGTGTGACGGCTGAGTCACACTGCAGTTGCATGTTGACTCTCTGTCTAGCCCTACCTCCCTAAGATTTTTCTCTTGCCTTTTTTCCTAAATGTTTGATAGTGTCACATTCTATTTTCAAATCTGTGATCCATTTGGACTTAATTTTTGTGTAAGTATAAGACTTAGGTCCAGGTTCAGTTTTTGGCCTGTGGATGTCCAAATGCTCCAACACCATTTGTTCAAAGGTTATCTTTCCTCAACTGAATTGCTTGTACTTTTGTCAAAAATCATTGGGTATATTTCCATGGATTTATTCCTGGGTTCTCTATTGTTATACTGATGCACATGTTTGTTCTACCAACACCTGTTTTGATATAAGATCAGTTTTAATATTGGGTAGGGTGCCCCTCCCATTTGATTCTTTTTTTTTCAAAATTGTTTCCTTTGTCTTTCCATACGCATTTTAGCATATTCTTGTCTCTATCTACTATAAGCCTTGCAAGGATTTTTATAGGAATTTCTTTTAACCTGTACTTAATTTGGGAAGAACTGATAAATTTGCTATGTTGAGTCTTCAAATTCATGAACTTCACATCTCTCCATTTATTTAGCTCTTCTTTGATTTGTTTTATCAGTGTTATGTAGTTTTTAGCACACACATCTTATACATGCTTTGTTAGATTAACACCTCAGGATTTTTTTTAGGGATTGTAAATTTTGGTGTCCACATAAGCACTGCTAGTATATAGAAATAAAACAACTTCTGTTTATCTTGCATTCTTCAACCTTGGCTGCACTCAGTAATTTTAGGAGTTATTGTAGATTCCTTGGGACTTTTTTTCTGTAATTACGGACAGTGTTAACTCTCCCTTTCTGACCTATATGTCTTTTATTTCCTTTTCTTGTCATACTGTAATGACTAGATCTTGCCAGAGTACATATACTTGACTTGTCACCAATTTTAGTGGGAAAGAATTCAGTGTTTCACCATTAAATATGATATTAACTGAAGGGTTTTTATAGATACAATTTACCAAGTTTAGCCTTTTATTCCAATTTTTCTGAGAGTTTTTACCATGTATGCTGTTGAAAATGTTTTTCTACATCAATTGACTTATCTAGTGATTTTTCTCCTTTATCCTGTTAATATAGTAGATTACACTGATTGACTTTCAAATAGTGAACAACCTTGCATCTCTGGAATAAACCCACTTGCTAATGATGCTTTTTTTTTTTTTTATAGTGCAGAATTTTATTTGCTAATGTTTTGTTAAGGTTTTTTTTTTTTTTCATTTGTATTTATGAGGGATACTGGTATACATTTTCTTTTTTATACTGTCTGCGTCTGCCTTTGGTACCAGGGTCATACTGACTTCATAAACTTAAGTTCCCTTTGCTTCTATTTCCTGAAAGAGATTGTGCAGGATGGGTGTTTGGTAGAATTCACTTGTCTAACCACCGGGGCCTGAGATTTCATTTTCAGTGTCTTAAAATTAAAAATTCAGTTTCCTTAATACTCAAATAATTTATTTCAAGTTAAGTTCTGGCAGTTAGGGTTTTTGCAGAATTGATCCCTTCTATCTAAATTACCAAAAATTTATGTGCATAGTTCACAGAAATCCCTTATTAGCCTTTTGATGTTGGCAGTCTGTGGTGATGCCTCTTTTCATCTCTGATATTAGTGATCTCTGCCTTCCTCTCTGAGAAGGAAACTCATTGCTAGAAGATGATAGTTTATTATGCTTTTTGAAGAACCAAGCCTTTCTTTATTTAATTTTGTTTATTGTTGTTCTGTTTTCCATTTTGTTGCTTTCTGCTCTCATGTGCTCTAATTTCCTTTCTTCTCCTGGCTTTGGGTTTATTTTACTCCTGTTTTTCTAAGTTCTGGATGTGGGAAATTAGATAATTAATTTGATATTTTCCCATTTTTGCTAATGTATACAGTAAGTACTGTGAAATTCCCTCTCAGGTTTATTTTAGCTGCTTTCTATACATTTTGATTTATGTTCACTTATTCAAATGAATTTTTTATTTCCCTTGAGGCGTCCCCTTTAACTCATGGTTAATTTAGAAGTGTGCTGTTTATAGTCTAAGTGTTCAAAGATTTTTCTGTTGTCTTAAATTGTTGATATCAGTTATTGATATATGATTGTGCTGTTATTGGGAAACACACTATGTGTAAGTTCAATTACTTGAAATTTGTTTTAAGTAGCTCAAGATATGGCGTATCTTGGTCTGTACTCCATGGGGAACTGAAAAAAAAAAGTCTTGCTGTAGTTTTATGGAGTATTTTATAAATGTGAACTAGATCTTATTTTTTTATTTTATTATTTTTTTTGAAAGTTTGACAGTTTCTTTTTTTTTAAGATTTATTTATTTATTTATACAAGCACTGGGTACAGTCAGAAGTGCGGGAGGGTGAGAGAATTCACAAGATCCAGAGCGGGGAACAGAACAGGCAGACTGACGAAGTACACTGCTGAGGGGAGCAGCGGGCACAGTAGGAGAGGTCTGCGCGCTATGTGGGACCCTCGCCCGGTGGCCAGGGATCGAACCGGCACTGCAGAGGCTGCGGGCAGCTTCGCAGCCCAGCACTCAACCGCTGTACCACCGGGGAGGCCCTAGATCTTATTTTTTGATAGTACTGGTAAGTTCCATGTCTGTTGCTTTTCTATCTTTTGTTCTATCAGCTGTGGAGAGAAGGGTGTTGAAGTCTCCAATTATAACTGTGGATCTGTTTCAGTCCTTCAGATTTTGCTTCATAAATTTTGCAACTCTGTTGTTTGGTATGTATGCATGTAGGATTATTAGGTCTTCTTGAGAGCTTTATTCTTTTGTTGTTATATAATAATTGGTAATTTTCTTTCCTTGGAATATATAATATCAAATATGAAAATCACTACTCCTGTTTTTTTTTTTTTAGGTTAATATTTGCATGCTCAATCTTTTCCCATCCTTTCACTCTTCAGCCTATCTATACCATATTTGAAATGAGTTTCTTGTAGAAAACATAAAAGCTGGGTCATGTTTTTAAATGTTTTACACTGACAACATTAGTCTTTTACTTGCTGTATTTAGACCATTTGTTATCAATATGTTAGGGCTTAAGTCTGCCACTTGATTTTTTTATTTTTTGTTTTATCTCTCTTATTTTTCTTGTCTTCCTCCCATCTGATTTATCTAAATTCCCAAAGGATATTTTTGCTGATACAGAACTGTGGGTTGGTTATTATTTTCTTTCAGCTCTTGAAAGTGTGCACTGCCTCTGGTCATTTGAACTGTTTTCCCCCGCAAGTATCATTTCTCTTCCAGTGTTTTCAAGATTTGTTTCTTTTTCATTAGTTTTTAGAATTTCATTAGCATGTGTCTTGGTATAGTTTTCTTTTGAGTTTAATCTTTCAGGGATTCACTCAGTTTCTTCAATCTTTAGGTTTATCTTATCCAAACCTGGGAACTTTTCAGTCATTAACTCCTCAAGTATTTTTTTTTTTTTAAGATTTATTTATTTATTTATTTATTTATTTATAGAAGAACTGGGGTACAGGCCAGAGGTGTGGCAAGGGTGAGAGGATTCGCCAGAGACAGAGTGGGGATCAGAATAGGCGGATCTAATGAAATACACTGCTGAGAGGAGCAGTGGGTGAGTCAGGAAGAGGTCTGCTATGCCATGTGGGTAGCAACCTGGCAGGCTGGGGATAGAATTGGTGCTGCAGAGGTTGTATACAGCTTCACAGCGCTGTGCGTAACTCCTTGTGCCATCAGGGAGGCCCTAATTCTTCAACTACTTTTCAACTCTGGCTGTTTGTCCTTTTCTTACCAGACTGATGACACGAGTGTTAGATTTATTGTCATATCCCAGATTGCTGAGGCTGTTTCAGTCAATGTCTTCTCTGTTGTTCAGACTGACTAATTTCTATTGTTCCATCTTCCAGTTCATTGATCCTTTCCTCTCCATTCTGTTGTTACTCCACTCAGCTTTTTATTTCAGTTATTGTATTTTTAAGTTCTAAAATTTCCATTTGGCTCTTCCTTACATCTTCTGTTTCTTTGCCGATTCCTTCAATTTTTTTCATTTGTTTCAGGAGCCTGAAAGCTGACTGAATTGCCAGGCAGACACTGTCAGAAGTGGCGTGGAGCTGGGGATAGCGTAGAATTTCTGACAGAGGCTATTACTGACCCAGTCAAGGCTCAATATATCTTAGGTCCCTTCTGTTGATTTTCTCCAGTTTTTGGGAGTGGAGGGTGCAGGAGGAACAGGGGGAAGAGAGAGTCAAAATGGGAGGTACTCCTCTCTAAGGGTGATCCAGAAAGGCTGGTATTTTATCTGTAGATTCACATCCAGATTGCTGCCTGGCATACAGCAGGCTTTCTCGAAATACTTTTAACTGAAAGAGTGAATAAACTGTCTCTCCCTCTCTTATCTCCTTGCCATTAGACTCCTCTTGCCCTTCTCCTAATATGCTTTTGACACATTTTAAGTTCCACTGGCCCAGAAAATGCTCATAACTACTACTATAGTAGGTTGAATAGTGGCTCCCAGAGATATCCAGATCCTCATCCCCAGGACCTGTGAATATATTACCTTCTATGGGCAAAAGAACTTTGCAAATATGATTAAGGAACTGGAGAGGAGGAAAATCTCCTGGACTATCCAGGTGGGCCCTAAATGCAATCACAAGTATTTTTTTTAAGAGGGAAACAAAGGAAACTTGACTACAGATGGCAATGTAATGGTGGAAGCAAAGGTGGGAAGGATGCATTTTGAAGACGGAAGAAGGGGCCACAAGCCAAAGAATACAGATGGTCACCAGAAATCATAGAAAGCCAGAAAAGGAATCTTATCTCAGAAATAAAAAGCTCTGCTAACACCTTAATTTTGCTTGGTGAAACTGACTTTGAATTTTTCACCCACATAACTGTAAGAGGATAAAACTGTATTATTGGGAACCAGCCAGTTTGTAGTGATTTGTTATATTACTGCTAGGAAACAAATACAACGAATATTGAATGCAGTCCTGAGCGTTTTGCCTGTGCCAACTCATGTAATTCTCAACACAAAGAAAGACCTCTGGGGAGTGGGCTCTCTCACTGCCCACACTAGATAGATACAGCAGATGAGGCTCAGCGAGGATGAGGAACCTGTCCAGGATCACACAGCTTGTGGGGGCAGGGAAGGGGAGAAGCCCAGGATGAACTTCTGGTTTGGGGGAGGGACTGCAGATAATGAGACCCCTCTCCAAAAAATCATAGCCCCAAAATATATAAAAAATAAAACAGCAAAAATGAAAGCATTAATAATTAAAAAACAAAATCACTAAAGAAAAAAAAAAGTCCTTCCCCCTAATGTTTTGTTTTTGGCAGAAAATGCTCTCCTGAGCTTTGTAAAATGTTTGCCATGACAAGGAGCCAGGTGCCCTGTGTGTCAAGCAGGAACTGCCAAGGTGATCTGAGGGCCCTGGATCCAGAGCGCAGTTAATAATGGGGCCACCCTGTCCCCATGGGATGATCATCTCAGGCCCAGAAGACTGCTTGCTTTTCCAGCACCTTCCCTTCCTAGAGGAGGGAACTCCTGGAGTGCACTCACTTTGCAAATTTTCAAGCAATCTATTGTATCGGACAAATGATCAGATGGAAATACTGATTTACTGCAGGTGGCAGATGGTACCAGCGCTCTGGAAAAGCCACCTCAGCTCTTGCCAGTGTGTACTGCACATGTGCACACACATAGATGCTCACACACATGCACACACTTGCAGACATACATGTGCTTGCACATGAATGCTCACATGCACACACTCACAAACATGCTTACACACACACACACATCCACCAGCTCTGGAAGGGCCCTCAGTCAGTCCAGTGCTGTCCCATCCCTACGAGAATCCTGAGGAGGTTCTTATCGCCACCCCGCTTTCCTGATGACTGGGTTCGGATAGGTTGATAGTTCAGTTTACCATTTTTAACAGCACCCAAACTGTGTCTGGGGAAACACTGGCCCTGGGGGCCCCTGAAGTCCCAGCTCACAGCTCCTTGGGCCATGTTGGTTGTCTTCCTCGGGGCTGGGGACCTGTATGGTGATGTGACTATGTGACTGAGACACCACCCGAGAGTCCTGTGGCAGGGCATCAGGAAGATCATGGGGTCACCTTACCATCCTCACTGAAGATGGGGGCAGTGTGCAAGTAGTGGGTGATGCTGGGATCTTGTTCGAAGGGGCACTCCACTTGTTTCCATGTGATGAACTCTCCAACCTGCTTGGCCAGTTCCAGAAATTTCTGCCAGAATTATAGAGACAAAAAAATGGATGCTCTCCCCCATCTCCACCTGTGTGGGGGAGAATGTACAGCTGGCCCCGGCAAGGCCTCCCTTAGCACCCCAGTGAGGCCACCTGCAGGGCAGGGAGGGTGGAACTTGGGCAACAAATGACAGAACCACCCGTCAGAAAACCTGGGTGTTCATTTCATCTCTTCATTCCTTCTGAGGCATCTCAACACTTAAGGTTCACTGGCCCCCCATGTGGTGGGGAGACACCAGCCTCGGGCTATAGCCCCAGCAGATCATACATCTGAGTAAAGGTAGTAATTTCCCCTCACCTGCTGTGGTTTCAGTCACCTGTGTTCAACCACAGTCTGAAAATACCACATACAATAAGATATTGTGAGAGAAAGAGACCATATTCACGCAACTTTTATGTTATGTGTATTTATGTATAATATATATACATATTATAATTGTGCTATTTTATTATTGTTGTTAATCTCTTACTGTGCCTGATTTGTAAATTAAACTGCATCCTAGGTGTGCATGTGCAGGGAAAAACAGTATATAGAGAGTTCAGCAAGGCCCTTGTTTTCAGGCATCTTCTGGGGGTCTTGAAGGCATTGCCCTTGGGGAAGGGGGGAGCTACTGCGCTTGAGCTTTGTGCTATTTATTTTTGCGATCATCTCTATTTATACCAAGTGGTATGTGTTTGTTGATTTGTTTAAATGTTACAAAAACAAGTAAATGTATTTAAATAAATTCATGTAAGTAGAATTTTAAGTAAAATTTAAATACATTTACTTAAAAGAAAAAAAAAACTGTGCCAACTGGAAGATGGATTTTAAGTAAATTGCAGTCTTGACTAGGTGGGAGCTCCGCTCTGTGGCATCCTTCGATCTGCCTTGGTGGCTGGTTCCAGTCCCACTGCTTGTGTCCCAAATCTGGGGCCACATGAACACTTTGCAGTACTGCCCCTTGCCCCTTGGCCTTGGTTCTGGGGACCAGTTCAAAAAGGGGAAAGAGGAAAAGGAGGTCCTATACTCAGCTGTATGCTGTGGGGTCACCTGTTGAGTGAGGCATGGGTCTCTGGGGCTCCTGTGTTCCTCCCAAGCCTAACTTGCTCAATGTCACCTCCAGCTTGGACTGGCCCCAGGATGCAGCACCCAGGCCGCCTGCTAGATTAGATTTCCCTTGGCCCTCAGGGGTGACCAGGCCCTCAGGAAGGATGGGAAGGTCTTCTGGGGGTAACCATTCAAGGACCAACAGCAGAGGCAGCTCCAGGCCAAAGGGCTCTGTCAGCAGGGGACACCTGAAGAGCCCTTGGTGAGCCATGAGGGACACCTGTTCCTAGCTCTCTGCAGCCATGGTCAGAGCCCTGTTCCACAGAGGAAGACCCTGGAGCTCAGGCAGAGCAAGGACCAACCCAGAACCGCTGCCCCTTGTAGTTGGAGGCTGGGTGGGGCAAGCACTTCCTTCCTGCAAATTGCAGGGATTCCACTCTTGCCTGGATGGTCTGTCTGTCTGACTTAGTGATCTTCTGCTCTCACTGCCCAGTACCCTCAGGGGTCCTGGGCCCCGTTGCCCATCAGGTGTATCCCACAGGCTCACGGGTATGCTGGATGGGCCTGTGGTGGGGGTGTGGGTGTGGGTGTGGGCTTGAGACATGAAGTGGATCAGGCTGGCCTAGATTTTGAGGAGCCTGGGAACTTAGATGCTGTGATGAAAGGTGTCTCAGCTCTCTACACAAGGCCTCCCTCCACCTGATGGTCAAAGGCGCTTCCTGGAGGAGGAGACACATTGACAATGTTGACTGTCTGCAGAGGGAGAAGAAATCTTTCATCCCTTCTGCCCACTCTGCCCGACCACTTCCGCCTGCTGCTAGGGACCCTCCCTGGGGAGGGATTCTGGCCCCCAGGCATTGTGCCTTGCCACCTCACCAGCTGTCACTACGGCCTGCAGGGCTGTCTTTCTCATCAACCTGGTGCTCCTCAAGGGCTGAAAATCATTCAGCTTTTGCTGGGCACAAGGCCTAAATGAGCATCACTCTCCTTTGGGGGGTGGGGGGCGAGCTGGATAATCTGATGTTGGCTGCACTTTGCCTCAGAGTCCCCCAACATTCCAAGCAATAAGGGTCACAGCAACTGCTCTGGGAGTTTTCACTGGCAGTCCCTCCCCCTCCCCATACCCCAGCCCCCTGGATCTTACCTCAAAGTTGACATGTCCGTTGGGGAGGCGGTTGGCACAGCCCTCGTTCAGGAAGTAGATGTCTTTGATGAGCAGGCTGAAGAAAGGGATGACAATCTAGAAGGACAAGGTGAAGGTCAGCCTTCAGCAGGCCTCTGCACAGGGGCTCCGTCCAAGGAGACTATGTTGCCTGCAGTCACCTGTCCCCAGGGATTTCAGATGCAACCCTGGATGCAGAGGAAGGGACAGGCTTCCTGGGCAAGGCTGGCCAGCAAATGGACTTCCTGAGTGATGGGTTAGTTAGTATGCACCATGGGAGGCGATGTGGAAACCACAAACAAAGGAGGCATAGGCTTCTTTGCCCTCAGGCCACACTGTTTCCTTCCATGCCCCATCAGATGCCAGTATTAACTGAGCTCCCACTGTGGACGTCTGCCTGGGGTGGGGCTGGGTGAGACACACAGTCCCAATAACCCTTGAACATGTCTTCCACTGTTGCTGTGAGAGGCCAGGGAAAGCTTGTCCCCACAGTTGGGGGGTCCACAGCCTCAGGCTTCCCTGCTCATATGTACCAGGAGGAGGAGTCCACGCTGAGCTCCCTGCTAAATATGTAAGAATGTGCACCATCTGCTTTGAAATTTTGTGCCCTCCTTAAAAAAAAAAAATATATATTTCAGAACATAACAATTTGTCATTCTGCGTCTTTCCTGATGCTAAGGATCTGATACACCATGGTCAGGCCAAATGCACCCTTGCTTGGGATCCTGAGGGGACTTGATGGGCTGATGCGCTCGGCCTGTGACGGGCAGACACCTTCGTGTCTTCACTGTGGCATGTCTTGCTTCTCCCTCCCTCCTCTGTGAACCTGCTGACTCCTTGAGAAGGGAGACCCAATGCTGACAGCCTCAACCACCACTGGGGAACACTGGGTCTATCCTGCTATTATGGATTGAACTATATTCCCCACCCCCAACCCCCAAAGGTATATTCAAGTCCTAAACCCCCAGTGCCTATGGATGAGACCTTATTTGGATTGTCTTTACAGATGGACTCAAGTTAAGATGAGGTCATACTGGGTTAGGTGGGCTCTGATGCCAACTGGTGTCCTTATAAAACAAGGGAAATCTGGACACATGCAGAGAAAGCCACGTGGAGAGGGAGGCAGAGGCGGCAGTGATGTGTCTAAGCCTTATACCTTGTGATATTGATTACAACAGCCCCAGGAAACCAACATTCCTGCTCTAACGGCGGGCTCCAGAGCTGTGCGAGTGCTGCCGCCTCCACCTCATCACTCTGGGGTCAGAGCAGCAGGTCTTGGCATTTTTGTCTCACTTCCATCCAAGCTAACAAAGATTTTGAGGCAAGGACCTGAGCACTGACCACCGGCTCCACTGGGCAGGACAAATGAGGAAAGTGAGCGGCAGGGCCTGGCCCAGCGTCACCTGGCTAGTGACCACTAGGGCCAGGGCCACACTCGGGATTAGTAGGGAAATCAACTACCTGATGAGCCCTGGACTCAAGGGCTTCCTGGAATGCAGAAGTTTTCATTCCAGGACAAACTGGTCATCCCAGGCTTATTCCAATACCACAGACATTTGCTCCATTCTCTGTGGCAGGCACCAGGGCTTGGAGGACAGTGAGAATGTGCCAGGCACACTGACCCCTCACCTCAGTGTAGCAGGAGATTGTTCGGGGAAAAGTGTATAGAATAAGGAAGTCTTTGCTCCACTGAAGACAGGGTTTAGTCCCCATCTGTATTCCCAAAAAGCCCACCACTATACCCTTGACACAAGGTTACTGGCGGATCCCAGCGCTTCACTGAACTTCACTGTAAAAGCAGAGGATTGTGGTTTGTTTGGTTTTTCTTCCCACTGTCAAATGACCCTTTATTGTGATTTTCTTTGATTTTTCTTAACTGGCAGGGCACTCCACCGCTCCGCTGTTGAGGTCATCGATGATGTTGTGAGGGTGGTGGCCATCAGTGTTGTAGCCCATGGACTGGTCGGTACTGAGGATCTCTTTAATGGTGCCAGAGAGTTCTCTAGCTAAAGATCGATGCTGCATCTGCTGGGCTATGCTGACAATCTCGTCGAACATGATATTCCTACTGTGCTTAACTGAGAATGAGAGCTGGTTGTCAGGAAACCTGTGGGGTCCCCAGTACTTCTTGTTCTTGGGGCTATTGTCTTGGTACCCAGAGTACTTGCTGGTCAGCTAGGCATACAGTCAGGCAGGAGGCTTCTCTCCAAGGACAAAAAGTCCTGGTGTGAGGAACACACCGAGAAACCAGTATCTGCTTGCTTTCAAGCACAGCTACGTATCTTCTCACATTTTAGATTTTACCCATTATTGGTATGTGTCTGAATAGATGGAAACATCAAACCATGCTTACATGGAGGAAATCTGGCCATAAATTTTCAGACTGTGTTAACATAGGAGAGATTTCTGGTCTTTAAAGTCATAAAAGTTTTCCTGGTAGAGTTGGATCCATGATGTTGAAAGTGAATGACTTAGATGAACGTTAAGGTTTTGTCCTCTTCTAATCAGATGACTCAGCCCAGCTGCCTTTCTGCAAATCCCAAGTCCCGTGGGTCATGAGTATTCATGAAGTTCAGTGACCTACAGAATCCACGTCTCTGTCTCTTTCAGTGTTCTTCAGGTCTCTAGCATAAGTTCAAGGCCAAAAAACTAACAAGGCTTCTTCTTCCCATGTCTCTCTGCTCTATGTGCATCTTCCAGCCCTCACCTGCAGGTCTTCTCTTAGCCTTCCTTTTTCTTCTTCCTTTCTGCCCTTTTTTCCCCATCTCTCCGAGGATTGTGTTTTATCTACACTGTAGTCCTGTGAAGCAGGGCTCTTATTAACCCACTTTTATATGAGGAAGCCAAGACCCAGAGAGGTTAAGTAAGTTGCACAAGCTTTCACAGCAGTAAGTAGCAAAGGCAGGATAAGGGCCCAAGTGGTTCATTCCCAGAGCTCCTGTCCCGCCTGCTTCCTCACTGTGCCTGAAGTGTTCTCTCCCCACCCCCACCACTGGTGCTAAGTCCCAGGCCCAATGTTGGTGCGCTGGGGAGATGTGCTATGACAGGGAGGGGGCTAAAGGCAGAGGAACTCTGCAGACAGAGATGACTTCTCAAGAGCTTGGTGCAAGCCTGCTGGAGGCAGAGGCATTGCTGCTGGTCCTTGAGGAGATCATGTTTTCCATATGCGAGCATTTCTCACAACTTCCACCTATCCAGGTTGGTCCAGGTAATCACCAACCAGGAATTAGTCGATGCAGAGACCCAGCAGTCTCCATGCCCCCACTGATTACGATAAACCCACTGTCTTTGCTGAGCAGTGCCATCAGAACCTACTTAGCTGGGTGTCACCATGAAAGGCTTGTGTGGAGTTGGTCCCCTGACAGCGACTAAGGAGAGACAGGAAGATAGCATCAAGTGCCATGATCACTGAAGCCTGCTGGCATTGTTAGTTTCAGCTGGGGGGCACTGAGGGACTAGGGGAGTATCTCCAAGCATCCATCCATCCATCCATCCATCCATCCATCCATCCATCCATCTGTCCATCCATCCTTCTGTCCATCCCTCCCTCTATCCTGCCTTCCATTCCTCCATCTATCCCTCCTTCCACCCATCTTTCCATTGGTTTGTCTGTCCATCCATCCATCCAGCCCCCATTTATGAAGCATTTTCTATGGACTGAGCTCACGGTCCTTGTCTCTCTGAGGAGAAGACAGCAAAACTAAACACATTGCTCTGTAAGTCACCCACAGGATAAAAACACTAAAACCCCAGCACCCTGGAGCTAGAAGGGGGCTCAGAAGGTGGGAACATGAAATCTCAGCCTGCTCATTTTGCACAATTTGCACTTGGCTGGAAGAAAAACAGTGTAGAGCCCCAGTGCCATGGCTGACACCTCAAACCGGAGGTTGCAGCCAACTCTATACATTCCCACCTCACCCCCCCAAGTCCTGGGTCATATTAGTTTCCCTGTGTCTGCCACTCCTGCCTGTACCCCAGGAGCAGTAGGCAGCAAACACTGTAAGATTCAGAGTCTGGTTCTGCTGCTTCTTTGTCATGTATTGGACAAGTGAGATCTCCTCTCTGAGACACTATTTTTTCAATTTGGGAAATGGCAATGCTGAAATCCACCCCTAGATCAGGAGTCAGAATTAGTGAGGGGCACAGAATGGAAGCCAAGTGGCCCTAGCGTGAAAGGTGTTCATATGTAAAAAATATATAGTTGGTCATTCAGATGACTAAGTATGTATTCCTCAAATATATTTAATCTTCATCTATAGTTCCTGGCTCATGGGTCACAAAAGCCCCAGAATTTCCGAAGTGTTGAGAGTGATAAAGTGTCTCGTTATTTGAGTGAGGTGACTTTTGGGAGGCACCTAAGGATGCGGTGGTTGCCAACGGAACCATCCATATGGTTAGAGGGTTGGAACTTCCAGTCCTACTCCCCTGACATCCTGGGGAGGGGACTAGGGTTGAAGAGTAAGCTCAATTGCCAATGACCACTGATATAATCAATCATGCCTATGCAATAAGGCCGCCATAAAGTCCAAAAGGATAGGTTTTGAAGTGCTCCCATGTTGGTGGACATTCGGATCTTTGGGAGAGAACTGCATGCCTGCGAGGGCATGGACGCTCTGCACCCTTTCTCTCTATCTTGTCCTACACGTTCTTCCAACTGATTCTTCCTGAATAATATCTCTGCTATTATCCTGACTTCTGTGAGCTGCTCTAGCAAATTAACTGAACCTCAAGAGGGAACTGTGGAAACCTCCAATCTAGCCATTTGGTCAGAAGCACAGGTAAAAGCTTGGGCTTGTGACTAGTGTCTGAAGTGGAGGGTGGTCTTGAGTGACTGAGCCCTTAACCTACGGAATCTGATGCCATCTCCAGGCAGATAGTGTCAGAGTTGAGTTTTATTCCTAGACACCCTGTTGGTGCCTGAGATTTGTTTGGTGTGCAGAAGCCTCACATTGGAATTGGGTCTGGAAACCCTAAACAGTGCCTAGTGAAATGAAGTCCCCACTTCCCCATGCTTCCTACTCCTGGGGACACAGTCACCTGCTCTGGGCTCTGAGGTCTCTCCTCATTGAATGCTGCCCCCACTCCCTCCCCGCTGGGCCCCAGAGTTGCTGCTGTGCTCGCAGCCTGAACAGGAAGACCCAGCTGAATAAGACATAGCCAACAGCGTGTCTGGGGCCTGCATGTGATCTCTGGGGGAGAGGGAGGGCTGGGAAGGCCTGGCAGATGGCATAGTGTGCTTAACTTAGCCTGCTCCCCAACCCTACTACTGACTTCCATCCAATACAATTCTAGAGTGACTTGGAATTTCAAGAACAGCAACTTGTTTAATTTTCCTTAAGCTGGAAACAGACTTACACAAACATGGCAGGGACTTGATTCTACCAATTTTACAAGAGACCAGACTGAAAAAGCACAGAATATCTCAGAGTTTCTTCCCCATGGAGACAAACCATTCTAATTATTGGGTTGATGACAGGTTTTATGCCAGAGGACGACTGCAATCCCTAGACCTGTCCACAGTTCCTTGTATCAGAGGCCAGGGAGGGAAATTTGGAGGAGAAATGAAATTCACCAGGGTCATTACAACCCCCAACTGCAAATGTGTAACAGAACCCATTCAAAAGGCTGTTTTAGTGAACTAAGTGAACAAGAACTTTGGTTCAATTATTGCCAAATTGGTTCAATTATTGTTTAGAATAAGAAAGTTCAAGGCCCCATGTACTTTGAACACACACTGAGCTGAACCAAGGGACTCTGATAAATACAGTTGGTCTAGGATTGAAAGGACCCAAGTTGGGAGGGGACGGAGTCTGGCATGGCAGCCTGGGCTGTGGCTCAGAAGAGAGAGAGGGGAGTCTGGGCTCCCTGCAGGATGGCAGGGAGAAGCCTCACTCTCCATGACCCCCCCAAAGAGGGGGCTATATGACTGCAGCCCCACAGAAAGCATTTCCTACCAGTTGGAGCTGCGTGGGGATGCTGGTCTGTTTGGGGAAGTAGCAAGACAACTTGGATGCCTATTACAGATGCTTTAGAAGGGCAGGGGTTGGTCAGGTGACCTTCAAGACAGTAAGATTCTCTGATACAGCCTACCTGGGCTAAGGTGGTCTGCAGCAGGGAGGAGCCCTGAAAGTCAGGCAGCCCCTGACCTACCTTCTCTCGGCTGCTGTGGGCTGTCAGGGAGCGGTGGGCTGCCCCACGCAGAGCTGTCCTATAGTTGCAAAAGTTTCCTGTTGGGTCCATCTGGTGCTGAAAGGAGAGGGAGGCATTTGGGCAGCTGCAGATTTGGATGGCCAGCAGCACCCAGTAGCAGGCAAGTTTGCTCACCTCGAGGATGAAAAACTTGGCCGTCTTCACTTTGGCCCAGGTCTTCTTCAGCCTGGAGACAGGGCTCATGTTCATGCCAGCTGGAAGAGGGAGGGATGATGGGGAGGGCTGCCCCCAGCTAGTTTCATGTACTCCCTTGTGTCCCCCAGCTGGCTCAGTCTCTTAGGCTGCACCGCAACCAGGACTGAGCTCTGCGGTGGCCTCAGTCCACCAGACACTGGGTGGGTAGATGCTAGTGGACGTGGCTTTGGGGCCGGTCTGGCTTCCACGTGTGTGCAGCCTTCCTGTTCTAGTCCCCACCACACTCGCCCCACACCATGACCAGGGCCTGTTCTCCCTGGATGGGGGAAGAGACTGCCAAGCCCTCACCGAGCACCCAGAGCAGGTTCGCTTATTTCAGAAGGAGCACCTCCCCAGGACTTTTGGGGTAGGGGGCACACAGACCCAGCCCACACCCACCTCCTGCTCAGAGGAGCATACTGGCTTGCACCCCACCTGCCTGTGTGTGCCCCCTCCAACCTCTCTGGGGGTGCTTGCACTGGGGACCCCAGGTCCAACTGGTCCACTCACAGATAATGGCCATCAGGGAGTTGAAGTTGCCAATGTTGAAGCACTCTCGGGCCACGTCGATGAAGAACTCGATCACCTGGGCCCTCTGCTTCTTCTTGGCCGGCTGGGGACAGGGCACCTGAGCCTCAGGGATCACAAGTCCCCACCCTGCCCTGTCAGATATCCTGCTCACCTAGCCGTGCCCTAGTTCACCTTCTCTAAGCCAGCTTCACAGGTGAGAGGCTTGATGCCTGGGCGATTCGCAGCCAGAGGGCTCAGAGGCTCTGAGCAAGTATAGGCAGAGCCAGCAGAGAGCCCACTACCACAGGGGTCTCCCACAGGGGCAGGGCCCTCGAGTGGGCTGGCTCCATGGGGCTGGGGCTCTGTGCAAGGAGAGCCTCCAGTGGGTGTGGGTCTCCCCTAAAGGATGGGACTCTCATAGGATTGGGGCCCAGTGGGGGGCTCCCATGGGGACAGCTCCTTCATCCCTCAACCCAGCTCAGCACTCCTCCTCCAGAAGCAGAAAGCCTGGTTTCTTGGCCTTTCCTCCCAGTACCAAGCTGGGTCTCCTGAGGGGGAAGGAGAGCAGTGGGGCAGACAGGGACACACAATAACCTCAAGGCCCTATTTCCTGAGCAACCTCTCCTCTACTTTCTGTTGAATGACTGTGTGACTTCAACCCCAAGGTCTTGGGACTTGGACTTCTCTGATAGCTCAGAACTAATCTGTGTACCCCCAAAGGCCATCCTGGGCCTATGCAATGCTTGACTCCCGGGGGGGGGGGGCTCACAGCGCGTTCATGTTCATCCCCATCTTAGATGCTGGATCATTGATGTGAATGTAGGAAACAAGTAGGGCTAGTGGAGCCCTCAGCTGGGTTCTTGCCAAAAGATTTTCCCCCCTAGACGTTCAGCCATGATCTTTGCTGACACCAAAAAGTGCACTGAGGTGTCTGCAGAGTTTGTGCCACCAACCCCCTTCAGAGTTACCCACTGGGTTCTGCCCTGTCCTGTGCAGAGCCACCCAAGCATCAGTGCCAGTGATGGGGGCTGAAGGTCAACTGGCCTCGGCAGGATGTGGGCGCTCAGACAGGTGACCCTCCCAGCTCCCGAAGACTGAAGACACTCAGATCAGCTTCTCCAGGACAGTCCTGCTCTTCCCTGTTCTCTGTACAGGTGTTGATCCTTCATAAACACTGTGTGCCCCAAGCGCTATCTCGGCAATTGCTCCTAGACACTGGCACAGAGCTGCCACCTATCCTTTCCTGAAACAAGTGGCCTGTGGGCCTCACTTGATGGTGGGAGGTGGTTTCAGAGGAGGGTCCCTCTGCTGGAAGGAAGAGAAGAGTGCAGACAGGGTCCAGTCTGTGGGACCTCAACTCAGTGAGACCCTCTTCTGGGGTCTTCCTACTTTCTAGGAGAAGCCAGAGACCTGAACTTTGTAAGTGCAATCTCCCAGCTGTCAAAAGTTAGATCATGTCTACCTGTGAATCCTTAGTGAATCAAACAAAATGCAGGCCAGCTGCCCAACGCAGACAGCCCCAGGTGGAGGAAGAAGGGAGCACTCTTTATTCCTTCAGCAAGCAGCCTCTGACATCTCTGTGACTGGCGTAGATCCATCCCTAGCTCACCCAGGGGGAATGTCACCGCAGGCAAGCTGGATGACACCTGGTACCCCTGTGGGGTGCCTAGCCTGGCCTGGCTTGGAGCTGGGTAGACTCAAAATACCATCTGGTTCCCTCCCAGGGGGCCTCCTCCCCCTCGGTGGCCTTTGGCCGTGCCAGGTCATGCTCCCTGGGTTTCTACGCACCATGCAGATCTCAGTTGCCACGAGGTAACACAGTCTGTTGAACCATTTCACATAAGCCTCCAGGTTGTTAGTCTTGTTGCCGAAACAAGGCTAGGAAAAACACAAGCACCACGCTGAATCTTTTCTGTCAGTAACTTTTTGAACATGAAGTCAGTTCATGATCATTATTAGATGATCAGAAAAATGTTGAAACCTTAAAAATCGCCCAGAAAATACCAATGATTTGATGATTTGATGTGTACCTTCTAGTCTTTCTATACACTCCCAGGTGTTTAGTAGATAATACAGTAAACACACAAATATAGGATACTTAACTAGCATGCATTTTAAGTAATACACTCAGAAAAACCTTAAAAATCTTCAAGAAAAAGACTAATGGCTAGACAACTGGAGAAAAATCAGGGATGGGTTCTCACAGAATGTCCAAAACACATGAAAAGAAGTTCCATTAATGGTTTGGCAAAAATGTAAAAGTCTGACCATTTCAAATGTCAGTGAGGATGTGGAACATGAATGCCCCCTTTCTAGGAGTATGATGGGTACAGTCTCACCTGGCATCACCTGGAAAGGCTGGCCATGTGCCCCTCTGCTGATGCAGTAGTTCCCTCCCTAGAGAGAGCTACAGTAACAGTTCTCAAAGTGTTGTCCATGGACTCCTGAGGGCCCCTGGGGTCCTCTGAGGCTCCTTTGCCCTACAGGCAAAATCATTTTTCTATTCATACAATGCTATTGCCTTTTCACCATGTTGGCATTTGCACTGATGTGTAAAAGAGGAGGGAACTCTTGTACATTTTGGGACTATAAGCAGTGGCACGGGAAGCAGAATGGAGATTCCTCAAAAAATTAAAGATAGAAACTCCATAGGATCTGGTTATTTCACTTCTGGGTATTTACCGCCCCTCCCCCCCACCCCCAATACAAAAACGCCAAGTCAAAGAGATACATGCACCCACTCGTTCACAGGGAATTATTTACACTGGCCAAGGTAACAATCCAAGTGCCCTTTCACAGACAAGTGGATAAAGATGATGTGCTACAGACACATGTGGAGTACTACTAAGGTATAGAAAAGCCGCACAATTTTGCTATTTGCAACAACATGAATGGACCGAAAGAGTCTTATGCTTAGTGAAGAAAGTCAGATGGAGAAAGACAAACACTACATGAATTTGACTGTGGTATCCAGAGACACTGAACAAATGAATGAATTAAATAAAGGAACAATACAATTTTATGCTATAAGACCACTTTAGTAATTACAGAGTGGGGTAAATTATACAGTGAAGGAAAGAATTGGACTTTCAGTGGTGACCCTGCTGTGGTGACACAGATGTTGATTTTTAATGAGGCAAACTTGAAACTTAATGTTATAATACAATGTTAACTCAATTAAAAATATATAAAGAGAATGGTGGATAATATCGCTGCCATCTTGGCCCTGGATCAAGGCAGAGGAACCAATCCTTGCTATCAAGCACTCACAGGAAAGGATAAAAAGACGAGTGCAAATTGAGAATGTCTGTGAAGAGGCAAACTGTTTTAGTTTTATTAAAAATATTTTAACTTAGGGATATAAAAGAGGACGAGAAGGGAGGGAAGCGCAGAACCCTGCTCCCCTCCCCCGCCCACAAAGTCGGCACTCTCGGACCGGCAGAGAGGAGGAAACAACAAACCAAAACGGCCAACAAGAAAAACGGACACAGCAAGCGGGACTGTGAGTGGAAAGGAACTATTGCAGCCACCACACCCCGTGAACGGGAGCTGAGGCGAACCCTGCAGGATCCACCGCGGAGGTGAGCTCCAGACGCCATTAAAGAGAGCCCCGCCCCCCAGGAGGAGACCAGCACCAGCACACAGCCCCGGCCGCCCGGCCGCCCGGCCGCCCGGCTGCTTGAAACTGACAGATGACTCCTGGAAGAACCAGAGGGGAACAGAGAAGCCCACCCAAGATGCCGGCCAGTCCCAACAACACAGTATCCCAACGCATACGGCAAATTAGAAAACAGTCAGTAGGGAGGAGAAGAACCACACGCAACCTAGCAACTCTCCAGAGAAAAAGCACACCACAAAAAGAAAGCCAGCCCCCAGATTGCAAAGACAATAACTTGGAAGAATTTCTGAGCCTTCCAGAAAGAGAATTTAAAATTGCCGTGATTAAAAAACTGACAGAAGTCATAAAGGAAAACAATGATAAGGGAAAAATAATCAACGATCAGAAGAATGCAATTGAATCCCTAGAGAGGGAAAACAATGGTCAGAAGAAAGAAATTGAGTCCCTAAAGAGGGAAGTAAAAGAAATGCAGGAGATCAAAGAATTAATGGAAGAACTAAAGAATTCTGGGAAAAGCAATGAAAGCAGAATAGATGAAATGGAAGAACGAATAAGTACGCTTGAAGACACAGAAATAAAAAGAACCAAAACAGAAAAGGAAAGAGAAGTACGAAGGAAAAAGAACGAAGAAAGACTTCGGGAACTATCTGACTCCATGAGGAAAGGAAATATAAGAGTTATAGGAATACCAGAAGGAGAGGAGAGAGATGTAGGAACAGAGAAAATATTCAAAGAGATAATTGAAGAGAACTTCCCAAATGAGAAGAAGGAGCTGAAAATTGATATACAAGAAGCAAGAAGAACACCAAACTTCCACGACGAAAGGAAAAATACAGCAAGACACATAATAGTAAAGCTCCCAAGAATCCAGGACAAGGAAAAAATAATGAAGCTGGCAAGAGGGAAGAAACAGATAACATTCAAAGGAAAACCAATCAGGCTGACATCAGACTTCTCCGAAGAAACACTACGGGCAAGGAGAGAGTGGAGGGACATAGTCAACAGACTCCAAGAAAACAGATGCCAACCAAGAATACTCTATCCCGCAAAGCTCTCCTTCCTCTTTGAAGAAAGAATATGGACCTTCCCAGACAAACAGAAACTCCGGAATTTCATTGCAACTAAACCCCCACTCCAAAAAATACTACAAGGAGTCCTAAAGCCAGAACCTCAGAGGGACGAATAACAATGAAAGAAGGCCAAAAAAAAAAAAAAAGTTATTAAAAGAATAAATAAATAAAATCAAAGGAAAGACAAACACAATGGCAAATACAGATGTTAACATATCAATATTAACTCTAAATGTAAATGGACTAAACTCTTCAATAAAAAGACACAGAGTTGCAGCCTGGATTAAGAAACAAAACCCAACCTTTTGCTGTCTCCAGGAAACACATTTAGCTACAAAAGATAAAAATAGGCTCAAAGTTAAAGGATGGAAAACAATCCTACAAGCAAATGGACCAAAAAAGAAAGCAGGAACAGCTATACTTATATCAGATAAAACAGATTTCAAACTCAAAAAGATAAAAAGAGACCCCAATGGTCACTACATTATGATCAAGGGGACAATACTTCAAGAAGAAATAACACTCATTAACATATACTCACCAAACGAAGGAGCACCAAAATATATCAGACAACTGTTGTCCTCTCTGAAAACAGACATCAGAGAAAACACATACGTAGTGGGAGACTTCAACACACCACTATCAACAATGGATAGATCAACAAGACAAAAAATAAGTAAAGAAACCAAAGCTCTAAATAAGGACCTAGAGCAATTAGGCTTAACAGACATCTATAGAACACTAAACCCCAAAAAAACGGAGTACACATTTTTCTCAAGCGCACACGGATCATTCTCCAGGATCGATCACATACTGGGGCACAAGACAAACATCAACAGATACACCAAGATTGAAATCATACCAACCATCTTTTCTGACCATGAAGGCATCAAACTAGAAATAAACCATAAAAAGAAGGCAAGGAACTTTCCTACCTCATGGAGATTAAAAACCACACTACTGGAAGACCATTGGACTAATGAGGAGATCAAAGAAGAAATTAAAAAAATTTTTGAATTGAACGACAAGGAGGACACTAATATCCTAAATGTATGGGATGCAGCAAAAGCAGTAATAAGAGGAAAATATATAGCAATAGAAGCTCACATCAAGAAACAAGAAAGAACGCAAAGAAACAACCTCATCTCGAAGCTCAAAGATCTAGAAAAAGAACAACAAAAAAACCCCAAAACCAGTAGAAGAAAAGAAATAATAAAAACCAAAGCAGAAATAAATGAAATTGAAACTAAAAAAACAATCCAAAAGATCAATGAAACCAAGAGCTGGTTTTTTGAAAAAATCAATAAAATAGACAAACCCCTAGCCAGGCTCACAAAGGAAAAAAGGGAGAAAGCACAAATAAACAGGATCATCAATGAAAGAGGAGAAATCACAACGGACACAGCAGAAATCAAAAGAATAATCAGTAACTACTATGAACAGTTATATGGAAACAAGTTCAACAATCTAGAAGAGATGGACAAATTCCTACAACTCTACAATCACCCAAAGCTAGATAAAGAAGAAATAGAACACCTAAACAGACCAATTACAATTAGCGAAATTGAAATGGTAATCAAAAACCTCCCCAAAAACAAAAGCCCAGGACCTGATGGATTTACAAATGAATTCTACCAAACATTCAGAGACGAATTAGTGCCTATCCTTCACAAACTCTTCCAAAAAATTGAGAAGGAAGGGACATTACCAAACACGTTTTATGAAGCCAACATTACACTAATACCAAAACCGAACAAGGACAACACAAAAAGGGAAAACTACAGGCCAATCTCCCTAATGAACACTGATGCAAAAATCCTCAATAAAATTTTAGCTATCAGAATCCAACAATGTATCCATAAGATGATTCACCACGACCAAGTTGGATTCATTCCAGGGGCACAAGGATGGTTTAACATCCGAAAATCAATCAACGTTATCCAACACATCAACAAAAAGAAATATAAAAACCATATGATAATATCAATAGATGCTGAGAAAGCTTTCGACAAAGTGCAACACCCATTCATGATAAAAGCCCTTGAAATTCTGGGGATACAAGGAACATACCTCAACATCATAAAGGCCATCTATGACAAGCCAACAGCCAGTATCATTCTCAATGGTGAAAAGCTGAAAGCAATTCCATTAAGATCTGGAACAAGACAAGGATGTCCACTCTCACCATT